TACAGCGCTTTGTTCATATTTAGGGAATTCGGAAAGCCTTCAAGTTGTAATTAAATTTCATAGCGCGCTTTGACTTTGACTTTTTGTCGTTGCAAGCAAATTGCTTTGCCTAAGCTCAACCCACACACACACACAGGCAGTCACACACACACACACGCACAGCCACTCCCACACGAGTGTGCATGCATAGCAGCTGCTGGCGCATGTTGCAAGTTGCCTGTTGCATAAGTGAGCACAAGTGCTTGTCGCTGTTTAGTATGCATTGCATTTGCAGTTGCTTTGTGGCAGCTTAAGGCGGAGCCAGGCGACAAGATGCGACTGATTTTATTATGCAGAAAGCAAAACCCACACACACACACACACACACAAACGCACACACGTGCCACGCCTATGGCAAACCTTGTCAGGAGCCGCCCAGCTTGCCACGCGCGTAATTGGAGCGTAATGTGTTAAAGTTAGAGTCACGTGAGCTGCGTCTAATTTGCTGCCTGTTTGTTTGCTGCCCCATGTTTGTGCCCCACAACTGTTGCATATTTTATGAAGTGATTACATTTCTCGCACTCTCTCTCTCTCTCTCTCTCTCTCTCTCTCGCTATGTTATCTGTGCGGCAGCTGCGTGTGGCATGCCGCGCATGCAAATCAAGCGACAACTCTTTCGAGTATTTGATTTGTTGACTGCGGCATTTCGAATGCGTACGCAAATTGTGCCCAAAATATTCGAATCAAATATTGAATCTCTTATGATGCACCTCCAAAAATATAATAGAATATTTTTGAAATGAAATATTAGTGTAAATGAAAAGCAAGAATTTGTATGTCTAGACGGTTATCAAGCGAGAAATTTTATTTTATTTTAATGAAATATATTCCTAGAAAAATTATAGGAAATCTTGCCTTTAATGGAATCGTATTGATAATATAGTTTTCTATAATTTAGTATGTGTATTAATAAGAAAATATGAATTTTGTAGTATCGATAATATTATACTACGGATACTATAAAATACATATAGAATTTTCTTTATATAGAAATCTCTATGACATTATGTCGCATGATAATATCTAAAAACTGTTTAGATTTTTAACTGGAAATCATAAGCATGGATCTCTAATATACCATTATACATATATCGCTATTATTATATTCTAAAATATATTTATTTCCATCCATATGTGTGGTATAATACCAATAGTCATAATACAGAGCTGTGCTTAAACTTAAGAATTTTTACTTGTCTTGTATGCAGAAAGAGGTCTACAATCCATAAAGTTTACAATCCTTAGTTAAAACCAAGTTGATCTAAACATGCAGACGTACACACATATATCTCTCTGTTAGTTTCAATATTAATTTCAGTGATGCGTTTCTTTAATATAGTTACATTGGGCTAGAGCAACTTCATATACAACATAAGCAATTGGCCAAAAATAAACTCTTGTATAAGCTAATAAAGATATCTGAGCTAAACTTTTCCCATACAAGTTGTATGCAGCTTTTTGTGTTTAGAATGAAATCTAACAGCATTCATTGCTGCTCCCTATCCCTCCCCCCCTCCACAAGTTGTCTAAGTGGTTTTTGCTCGAGTTCCAGGCCAAGTTATGAATATTTCGTTGGCGTAGCTAAAAGGTCGGAATTGTGAGTGCTATTCGAAATATAATATGTTGAGAGTTTGCAATGGCATTGAATTCAGCAAGAATAATAATAATATAATAATAAATTGAGCGTATATTATTCATAAATATTTATTTAAAAAAAAAGAACACACAATATTTATAGAAAACTTTCTCTGTATTTTTTGATATATTAAATGCTATAACTTGATTGGTTTCGCATAACAAATCTGATTTATTTTATGTTAACGAAAATCTTTTGATATTCTTTGCTAAAATTGTAACTGTTTCAGCTATTAAATATTTCCACTTGTAGCTCGTTTCAGTTTACCTCTTAGAATCGAAAAACAAAATGCAGCATAAATTGAAGAGGCTTATGGGTAAACACTTTGATACCTCGATTGGCTTACAGCTTGTTTCTCTTTATGCTAGAGCACTCTTGTCTATATGCAGCTAGTGCATTGCCAAGCGATGTCTACCTATCACATATACATACATCTGTATATATTTATATGTATATGCATATATATGGTTTTTTGCTTGCCTAGTGATTCGCATTTTTGTCCTTTGTAGTGCCATTGCGATGCATGCGTTTTGCATGTCAACGTTGGCAGCCTTTCAATCTCTCGCGCTTACGATATATATTTATATATGTGCATGAATCAGAAATATACATTTATATATATATATATATTTTTTTTATTTATCTTTGCTGCTGTTCGCGTGGTCACCGATTCAATTGAGCGCACAGTTTTTGCTTCCGATTTTTTGTGTGGAATTTATTTTCGATTTGGCATCGAAAATTTTCAGTGACGAATCAGACACTGCCACAGGAGCAGTCGGCAGGCAGCTAGGCAGAGGCTGTTACCTGTTGTTGAGTTTAAATATTTTAACTAAATATTTTCGGATTTTTCAGCTATACATATATATGTATGTATAAACCGTTTCTATTAAGCACAAGCACTCTCGTTCGTTGTTCGAGAAGGTGGCACGAATCGTCGTTGGCAGCGTTTTCAATTTCTACTAATCCTGCAACAACAAGAACAACTCGCACACGCACACACACACAAAATGGTAGAAAAAGGAAAAGAAATTACATTGAATTTGAGTACGCGTTGAGCTGGGGCACTGCAACAAAAAAAAATTTGGTATATGCTTTCGATTATATTTTTGGGCTATTTTTTTTATTTTCTGCTTGAACTTTTTTGCTCGTTCGCTCGCTTTATTTGTCTGCCACGCGCTGAAAATTGCGGAAATCGGACAAAGATAAAGGCGTTTTATAGATATATGCATGTGTGTCTATGTATGTGTGTGCTTGTGTTTGAGTGTGTGCTTAGTTTATATAGAAATAATATTTTTTGATGGATTTTGTGACAGCTTAGCTTGGTTTAATGCATTTGATTGAAATTGTGTGCATTGTCTGCGCTCCGGCTGCGTGCCCCAAGCCCCCCCTCTCGCCCTTGCTCATCTAGCATTTTCGTATGCTTTGATTTTTAGCTTTTTTTTTCGTGTCTGTAAGCCGCTTACGGCCAGACGTCAACGTGCCGCACAAGTGTGTTAAGTTTCTTAATTGCCACGTCATGATGCAACTGATGTAGCAGAAGATCGTGACAGTTCTCTGACCCACAGACCCGCGGCACAAACTGCCCCATCATCTTGAACTTGTAATTAGAGGGCCTCCAAAATGTAAATAAAAGGCAACAAAACTTACATTTGACATTGAATTCGTTTTGTTTGCGGGACATTGAAATTATTTATAAGCATTTCAGTTTCGGTTTCAGTTTTGGTTTCGATTTTCGGTTTCGGTTACGCTCATCAAAAACTGATATTTGTAGAATGTGGCCAAAAGGAAACAAAACAATTGAAAAAAATATTGACAGATTTTTAAATTGAGTGCGAAATATTCTTCGGCAAACAAACGCAGCTCAATTCAAATAGATAAACAGTTGTTGGCAACACTTAAGAAGCGCTCGCTGGTTCAAAAAACTAATGCCAATGACCATGCCATCGATGACCATGTCATGACGACAATCCAACAAAGAGATCGGCTCGATCGAACTCAGCTGCAACAGGTTTGAAGCTGGCGCCTAGACCACAGAGGAACGGTGTTGGCAGCAGAGATAGAGGCAGCCTGAGATTGAATTGGAATGATATTTTAAATAAGGCTAAATTAAACTAAGTAGTGGCTAGAAATGTGGTTACTATATAGCTATATAGCTGTACTGTATATCAATGTAAATTATAGTTTTTTTTATTAGTTTCTTAAAGGAACTTAAAATCATTTTTACAAACAAACTATTTAAACCTAAACGGCGTGGAATGCTCAACAAATTATAAAGGCCTGCTTGAAAAATAGCTAAAAATATAATAAAAACTGGCCACTTAGCCAAAAAAAGGCTAAATTGATCAAAAGTTCGTTGATGACAACAAATAAAAAAATAAATAAAAAAAAATTTAAAAAAAAAATGAATAAATACAATAAAATAAAATATGCCTGAAGGCCTTTGTCACTCTGGCTTACAAAATTGTTATTAAGATTTAATTCTTTGTAACAATAAATAAAAGAATAAAATAAAATAAAAAAAAAAAAATAAAGAACTAAATAAACTAAAAAATCAATAAATATATAAAAAAAAATTAAATAAAAAAATAAATAAAATAAAAAAATAAGTACATATTACAAAAATTAAATTTTATTATGGCCCCAGTTTTAGTCTAATATTAATAAGAAAATATATGTATTCAAGGCGAGAATATATTTATTATTATATATGTGGCTTCTTACAGTTAATAATATACTATTATACTATTATACTATATTTATATAGATCCATATATACATTTTTGCAAATTACGTTTCTCTCTCGCTCTCGCAGTTGTCGGCTACAGTTCTTCGCTTTTAATTAATTAGACAAAGAGTCTAGCACTGTCAGCAGCAAGTCATTTACTTAAATTTATAATATTTACTTGCCTTAACTAATTGATTGCTATTTTGATTGCAAATAAAAATCTATTTTCTATGCAACTAAGTCGCTTCTTTTCCTCTACACAACGCATGAGCCTTAAAGCAGCTAAAACAACAGCTCAGCTAGCGGAAGGTATCGTCTGCGCGCTAAATGTTTTCGATGCAATCAAACGCAATAATAACATCAGCAACAGCAACAACAACAACAACAGCAACAGCAACAGCAACAATTGAAACGCATGTTTAATTGAGATTCCGGTTCGATAGCTCGTGTTCGCTCAGTTCTCTTCGCTCGTCGCTCTGCTGTTCGAATCGAACGCGTCGAGTCTTTGGCAAACCCTTGCTAATTTTTCATATAAATAGCCAAAGTGATTTCAAAAACCATCAGCATAACGCAACATCCCAACAAGCCAAACACACACGCCCAGCGCAGACCCGTATTGCTGATATGGTAAGTGTTAAACTCGGACATAAACAGAGAGAGCCCAGCTAGATCAAGGTCGAATTTTACAGTTGAAGATGAAGCAAAGTGCCAACCTGCTGATGCTGCCGCTGCTGCTGCTGGCTGCGGCGGCTTGTGTCGGCGTGAACGCCAAAGCCTTGCGGCCGCGTCGCGATGTCTCACATCTGCCGCTGGAGTACCTGCCACCTGTGGTGCTGCCACCGCTGCCCAGTCGCAATTATTTGCCGCCCGTGGAACAGCATGCGGCCACACTGTCGCATGTCTTGACGCCGCCGCGTGAGTACTTGCCACCCAGCAACGAGTACCTGCCACCAGTTGAGACAACAATCGAACCGGAAACAACTACAACAACAACGACAGCTGCGCCCACAACAACAACAGCAGCCAGCGAGCTGCCCACAACGGAGGCAGCGGCCATCACGACCACGGAGCAGCCAACTGTGGAGGAGACGGAGGCGCCAACCCACGAGGATATCATTGAGGACATAGTGGAGCCTGCTGGCTCGCTGCAGGCCGATGGCTATCACTATGCCACGCCCAATGTCATACCCGATCTGACGCCCACCGTCGAGGCCTATCTGCCGCCGCTGGAGCACAATGCGGTGGCCGTCGAGCCGGTGCCGCAGAGCGAGGAGGAGTCTGCGGCGCTGCTGGATGATGGCTATCATTATCGTGCGATCAGGCGACTAAGGTTCTAAGTATATACATATATGTATATATAATATGTATGTATATTAACCCGCAATTGTTATATGTTATATGTGCGAATTCGGTTAACTTGCAATAAAAGGAATTGTCTATAAATACGCGACATTCGCACACAACTCAATTAGACGTGTTGGCAGGCGGGCAGCGCGGGGGCAGCAGGCGTGCGTCTAAGGATATTTGATGTGTGCGCCATAACATTTCATTTGATATTGATGACAGGAAATTAGAAAAATGTTTTCATTCGGTTTGCCACAGTTGTGGCGCTTACTCCTCACTGCTGACTGCTGCTCCGCTCCTCATCATCATCATCATCATCACCATCAGGCACGTCATCATCGTCATCAGCTTTTGCTTTTTGTCTTCTCCCACATCGTGTCTCATCATTTCCGTTGTCCTTTTTCTCGTGTGGCTTCACAATTGATTTGTTGTCGCTTCACAATCCTTGCGCTGTCACAGGATGTGTGTGTGTGTGTGTGTGTGTGCGTGTTTGTGTGTGCTTGGCACTGTCTTTTTCTTTTCTTTGCGCGCCCGATCGTCCTCCCAACTGTCTTCAACATATATTGATTAGGCATGCTTCAAGTTTGCTCTCTTCCTTTCTCTCTCTCTCTTGCCTTCTCTCCCTCTAGCTTGCTCTCAATAATTCAACAATTTTCCAAACGTTTGATTAAGTCATCGCCTGTTTTAAGTGTTGTCGTTGCATGTGAATGCCCTTTCAGCGGGTAGATTGATTCTGATACTCAGCTTGTCATGTTGAGCTGACCCTGTGAACTGAGAGTCAGATTCAAATCCAGCATTAAGCTAGTACTTCAACTTATAGAGCATTCAATTTACGCATATTTTCAAAGCTAAATTCTCTGCCTGTTTTATTGTGCTTGAAAGCAGGCATAAACATAAATATAAATGGATATTGCGTGCTTGTCGTTGTTGAATTATTGATAAATTGTGGCCAAGCATCGGGCATCAAACTTTATAAATTGCCTGACAAATTTTCGGCAGCGTGCAACAAGTGGCGCACAGTTGTTGCCTGCAACAGGCCAGCAACAGAAGAAAATGTTGCGGTTAGCGAAGCGTAAACCAAAATGAAAAGGCGAACACTAGAACACAAGAAGAATAAAAAAAACTCTGCCGAAAATTTAAAGCGCACAACAGCTTGTACGCCATTTGGCCCAAAGGAGTTTCGTTTCGTTTCGGTTCTGTGCTGGGCAGGCCAAAACAAACACCTGTAAACAGTCGCAAGTTAGGCGATGGAAATGGAAATTGAATGTGGAAAAGCTTTAAGCGAAAAAGCTTCGTTGAGTTCGCTTCAGCATTCAACATTGAACGAAGCCGACAGGAAAAGCGCATAAAAGGCAGGCACATCGGAAAATTCAACTCAGTTGCGGTTTCAACGTCTCCTACTGCGAACGCGAGCTGCACTAGGAAATTCGTTGCGACAAGTGAAAAACGTTGGGGTTTCGAAAGAAGGTAGCCGACAGCAAGAAAAATCCACAAGCAAATGACTATAATTTAATATTTATAATTTAAATTTGAATAAACAATAAATGGGAATATGAATTCAAATATATTATAAAAAGTCTTCTTAAATTTAATGAGCATAAAATGAAATAGTGAACAAATATTTGACTGCTTTAACATAAACTGCACATATAATGGAACATAATTTATAATATATAGTTTTTTATTAAAGCTTAAAAAAATGTTAAAAAGTTTACTTCAGCAGCAAAAGTTGTGAAAAGTTGCATAAAATATAAACAACAAGAATTCAGAGCGCAAAATAAAATAGTTTAACTAAAACAGAGAACCAACCAATAAAAAGTCGATGAAACAAAAAAAAAAATACTAAAAAATTAAATATTCTTTGATTAAATATTAACACTGAATAGAGATGTGAACATTGAAGAATAAAGTAAAAAAATAAAAAACAAATTATAAATTCAAGCATTTAATATTTACAGTCAATATAAATATTTATGTATGCATATGAAACAAATTTGAAGCAATAAATTTAGTAAGTTTATTAAACAATTTAAAGTGTAAACTAAATATAAACACTCAATATAAATATTTATATTAAACAACTTTGGAAGCCATAAATTGATCAAGTTTATTAAACAATTTAAAGTGTAAACTAAGTGATAATTAAATGGAAACTGGTGAAAAGTGAACCAGCGGGCACTAAAATATATATAGAAAATAAAAAAAATATATAAATACAATCATATAATTAGAATATATATTTTTAATTAGAATATATATTTAAATATAAATAAAATAATATAATTAGAATATGCAATTCATAAATTCCTTATACATAATCAGTAGAACTCAGGCTTAATATTATCTGATTTTTTGTAATTTTATGGCGTCTGCCACGCCTACCTCAGGGATTGAGCTCCGACTATATAAATCTATGTTTTCCGATTAACTCTGCCTCGATTAAGGTAAACAGTGATCCAATAGCAAAGCCAAATTGATCGTGGTTTATAGCTGCATAAGTCGATATACATATATATACATATATACATATGTATGTACACATACATATATCAATTTGTTCGTATAAGCTTAAACAATGGAGTTTATGAAAGGCATAGCAGACGCCCTTTGGCCAGCATTTCAGCAGCAATGCAACTCCAAGTTTCCAATTGCAAGTCTCTGGATAAAAAAGCGCTTTTCGCTTTTGCTATTCATAGAGAGTGAAACAGCAGGACAAACATTCCACTTAGCAGAGCGTGAATAGAGTGGAGCATGCAAAGGGAAATAAATAAGTAAAAAATAACAAATTCCTTAGATAATTTGAAAAACAAAACTATATATATAAAGAAAAGAATTTTGACTGAAGAGAGAATGAATGCATAAATGTGTTTATAAACAATAAACAAAATAAAGAAAAGTGCAAATAAAAAACATGAAACAAAAATGCAAAAAGAGAATTTTAATTAAATGTGAAAAATAAACATAAAAAGAAGAAAAAAAAAACGAAAACAAGTAAACAACATAAAGCGCTATTATAATTAGATAAAAGCAAACATAACTGTAATATAATTGAATTAAATGCTTTGTATACATGCACATATGTATATATTTATAAATATGTATATATTATAATCATAAATCGATTTTAAAAGACGCAAAAAAAAAACAAAGCTGAAGCTAAAAATAATTTAACGCTCAATTAAATTGAAACTTGGAAGCGAACTTTCACAACATTTGCAATTAAAATGCAATTAAATTGTGCACAAATCAAATTAAATCTTATATTACACACACACACAGCCAGACACATATATATAGATATATATTTACAGTTAGTTATTTTGGCTCAATGACAACAGCAATAAATAAACAAATTGATGGCTCTGAAATTGAATATAGTTTTCGCATTTATATATAGTGTTTGGTTTATTAAATAAACTGCATCTACCTGTGCCCCATTGTTGTTGTTGTTGTTGTCTGTTTTCTGTTGTATTGTTACACTGCCACACACAAACACGCATACACACACACACACATAGGTAGGTTTATTAATAAACGTTTGGCATACAAAGCCACAGCCACATAGAACAGATAATGAAAATCGTGTATACGCGCCGTTGCCCGCGGCTGCCACAACGTGTACATGCATGCAGGCGTGTGCGTGTGTATAGGTGTGTTTCTGTACTTGTGTGTGTGTGTGTGTGTGGCACGCTTTTGTATTTATTAATAACAAAGTAATCAGACATTGTAATCTCCTCGCAAAGCGTATTACAGCAGTCATAACAATGCCAGCTCAAGCAAGTGCTCGCCTCTCCCACTCTCTCCCTCACTCTCCCACTCCCCCGTCGGTCTCTCTTTCACTCTCTATCAATGCTTTTTGCTTTGGTTTATCCGGCTACTGTTGCTGCTGCATCCTTAGTCAGCTCCTGCGGCTTTTGTTGTTAGCTGCGGCGCACTTCCGCCTCAAGTGGCAACAACAACAACAAAATTGTTTCATAATATTTATCAATTTGTTGTTGTTGTTGTTTCGCTTTCAATTTTCTATATATTTTTTTTCGTTTGCATTATTTTCTAATTTGACGTACCTAATTCTCGTTCCGCCCCTCTCTCTCTCATTCATTCGACTTCCTCTCTCTCACCCTCTTTGTGCTTTGATTTCGATTTTTGCATTTTTAATTTTTTTTTGTTTGGCTTCAATTTGCGTTGATTTTGCTTTGGCGCCTGATTGCCTATATTGGCCTATTGGCCCACAGCACTGGTCCGGGTGTGGGCGTGGCGCCATATTGATGGGTTTATGGCGTGTTTATGAGCCAACACAACAAATTGCCAACACACAATCATTTACTTGCGCCGTCCGTCTGTCTTTATGTTATTGCATGGAACATTTCGCATGCAAATTGCAGTAAATGTTTTTCTTTTTTTGTGCTCAGTGTTCGGGGCCACGCCCACACCGCACGGCCGCCCTTAATTGCAGCTGAACAGTGGGTCAAACTAATAAGCAACAAATTAATTTGATTTGCATAATTGTGATGCCTTTCAAGAGACAGAAGGAAACGCACTGAAGGCGTCTGAGGCCGGGACATCGAGGCGTATGATTAATATGCAGAAGAAACCTTGACTGGCAGCGGCTTGCATTCGCATTTAAATAAGTGTTAACTGTTGTTTCGTTTTATCTCTGTTTTCTTTTGCAGCTGTCATTTGTAATTTAAAATACAACAACAACAACAACAAAATCCAACCACAAAAAGGCATAAAAAAAAAGCTGTCAAGCCGCAACAGCAGCAGCAGCAGCAAAAATTGAAGCGAGAACAGCAACAAATCAGTTTAATTTAAATTTTCCCTTTTTTCAAACAACACACAAAAAGTGTGGGCGTGCGTGTGAGTGTGTATATGTGTGTGTGTGTGTGAAAAGGGAAGTTTTTTTTTTTTTGCTGTTAAGACAAGACCTTCTTTTGCGTCGACCCAAAACAAACAGTAAAGAAACAAAATAAGGAGCGAGAAAAGAAAAAAATAAACACTCGACAGCTCGCGACGAGGGCCGACGGAGGAGCCTGTAAAAAGTATTTATTATAATTATTTGGGATATTTTTCATTTAAACGCGCTTTTCAT